TAGGGATTGAAGCCACTAGAACGACAGAGCAGTTAGTAAATGCAATCACACAAATGTCATGCGTCCAGCTTCAGATATACATGCATCTCGATGCAGCACATGTACTCAATACGAAATTAACACTGGGATACGTTTGAAATTGATTTAGAGACGGCAAACATCAAAATCTCAACTAAGAAAAGTAAAAAGTTCCAGTGTCACTGGTGAAGTGGGGGCTCATCCTTATTCGCGCTTCAGCTTCTTCGAAGTCTTGTTCTTGCTTTTCGGTTTTGGTAGTATGCCCCCAGCCCATTCGTTATGAGCGTTGACGATGGTCGGTGCCAAGCACTCCTTCTAAGTACTTAGCTCTAAAAGTAAACTTCAGTGAATATGTAGCTTAACAAGAACCTTTTCTGAAGTCACTGAAGGCCTCCTCAACCTGCCTTGCGAAAACCTATCCCGGAAATCGTATTAGCGTAAATTAAAGTGAATTTTACCCTATTATAATGAAAGCATTTCAATTGTTATCCCTGACAATAACTTCTTGTCAATCGACACGGTAAATAATGGCGATTTTGATATAAGGAGAGAAGCACTTGAAGAAGAAGTAACTTTTTCAAAACTGTACAGCTTCGTATTTGCTGAAATAACTTGATATACCCGGTGATGGTGTCGACTGGGGAAGGTATTTCAAGTTACTGCACTGCAACGACGTCTACCCGTTCATATGTCAATCGCACGAAAAATAATGATGGCCTTGACATAAGGAGAGAAGTACTTGAAGAAAAAGTAACCTTTCGAAAATATATACTACTGTAGAGCTTCCTGTAGGCTGGAATAGCTTACCTGTAGCTTATATATGCTTCTATTGATGTCTGCTCACATACAGTAGCAAATGAAACAACCCATATGGATATGTCGAAATAAAACACAGCAGTGAACTCCACTAAATCAAGCTTATCGTGAAAAAGCTCATGATATACATCCTCCACACTATCCTTCTCACGTTGCATCCGACTCCTTTCCATCTCCATATCTCTGCCTGCTCCGCCGCAGCATTAAGCTAAAACGAACCAAGAATGATCAGTTTTCAGGGTTTTGTTTTCGCCAAAAATTAAAAAAAAAAACGTAAGAAATGAACTTGTGGTGTTTTCCATATTAAAAACAGTTTTTGAAATGATGACGTTTTGGTAAAAGTATGTTAGCATTTCAAAATTAACAAGATACACTTTTTGGAATGTGCATTAAACAATTTAAAAAAAAAGAAGTTTGTTTTTTAAAAAAAATACTTTGAACGAGTTTCATTTTCTGGCGTTGTTACAGTATGCGCTTCCTTAGTATTGACAAATATTATAATATTAAATATTAAGTATCCAATTATCCAGAGCTTCCCGGGCGCAACCCGGCATTAGTTTCTCAACTGTTACAAATAATTTTGCAATTATACATTCACATAGTAACATGTAACTTAGCGCAGACGAGGGACGCAGGTATATCTGTATGGCGCTGCATGTAGTGGGGGTCGCTCTCGGCGGTGTCGGACGTCGGCAAGTTGGTTGAGGTAGTTTTTGGCTTCTTGTTTCAGAACTTCAACAAAGTTGAGTATTCTTGGATGTGGTGCTCCAAACGTGTCTGTGAGCTTCCAATTGTTCGGCTTCAGAGAGTTGTTAGTCCTGTTGACTATCTCGACATTCTCCTTCATCATCCCGGAGATATTCCAACAAGAAATACCGTATGTGTCGCACCACGTCTTCACGAAGTAGTCCCAGAACGCTTGCCGTTTGCTTTGCAATCTGCTTTCGTACGCACGCTGATTAGACGGTACAGCTTCTTAGTAATGAACTAGATGCCCTTTTTTCTTAACACCGTGGCGGGTAAATAGTGAGTAGGTCAAGTAGTTCAGGCTCCATGGCAGCC